CGGAAGTTAAAGAGGTGATTTCGCTTATATAAATCGGCTTACCTGTGGGTTCAGCGACGTGTTAAGAGGATGATGTGAGGGTAGGGCAGAGACGGCTTCTCTGTCGAGCGGAGGAGGCAGTGTCGGTATTGTGGAGAGGAAGAGGAAGTAGGAGGAAGAAAGTTCGTGTGTGGGAGCCGAAGCCGAGTCGAAGAGGAAGAGAGGGAGAAGGTTCGTGCGAGAGAGTCAAAGTCAAGTCAAGAAAGGAGCAGTGGAGGAGAGCCATGTCCTAACTTACAACGAAGAGGAAGAGGGAAGGATTTTTGCGAAGAACGGTTCTTGCGTGAAGGAGTTGAAGCCGTATGTGATCGAGCCGAAGAAAAAAAATGAAAGGGATCGTGTGACATGGGTAAAGTAAGAATATTAAGCTTGTACTTAATATTTTATATTAATCGATATATAATAATAATAGTAATAATAATTATTATTATTATTATTATATGAAAGATTTATTTAAAAAATGAAAAAAATTTACAATTACTTATTTAAATTTGAGTGGACATTTATTGAATATTGAATAAAATCATAAACATTGATTTAGTTGAAGTTTTGATAGTAAAATTAAAGTGAAATAAAATCCTTAAAATGAAGCTTATAATCAACAATTAAAGTTACATAAGTAATTAAGAGATTACTTAAGCATAATCAATAATATGCTTAAGATTATATTTTGACCATATTGTAGACAGCTAATTATTGGAGGCAAAAATTAAAAGTGTTTGACATAAGTCATACAACTACGAGGTGAATACTTCTACTTTTAAATTATAATAATAATTTGTTTCTTCTCGAATATATTTGCAATTGATGATATTTGTGGATGTTTTATTCTGATTGAGATATTTTTTTTTTATTGATCATATCATGACGAATGGTATAGCTATTTATTCATGCATTTTGGTATATGTTTTATATAGTATAATTGAATGTGATGAATACATATATTTATGTTAACTGTATGTGTGTGACTGGTTATGGAGCACTCCTTGATGGTACTAATGAGAGAATACTAACATACCCGTGCACGTAAATAGAAAAGTATATTGATTTTGAAGTACCTTAAGTAGTACAAATTTTAGACGGTGTCTCCTGTGACGGTTTTATAGATATGAAGTGCTATTGATATAATAATAATATATACCCCTTTCAATAGCATACCAAATATTTATATTGATTCATAATAAACTTAACTGGCACGCATATTGTTCTTTCTTTTCATTATATTTGTTTAGAAGTATGAGTATTTACTGGCTCGTTTAGCTCACAGTTGTTTTAACTAACTTTTTATATTTAACTAAATTATTAAGAGATAAGCAATGGACGAGAAAATATTTATAGAAGAAGCGAACAACCATCAACGAGAAAATTATAAATTATACTGCTCTAGTTTAATTTTTAGTGGCTCTTTCATCTATTAAATTAAGAGTTGATATAGAAAATTTAAATAACCCGCCCGAACGCCCGTTCTTGTCTTGGTTAATTCAAAGCCCCGAGTTGGGTCGTGACAGTCTCCTTGAATAAACAAACTAGATTCACAAATCCCCTTGAATTTTATGAAATTCATAAATTACCTTAACTTAACACATTTATAATGTCAATTGCACTCTTACCAAAAATTGCCTTTCCCGTATATATACACTAAGCAGCTCTTTACTAGCCAGCTGTAATTCACAATAAAATGGATTTCATTAAAAAAGTTTTAGACGAAGTACAGCTCAATATAAGCATTTATTCATAACTGCCATTATGTTTAACTTCCATAGCTTAAAAATTTCCACCAAATACCTTATGTAGCTTTCCAATTGCAGGATGCAGCAAAGTTGAGGGGAAAATTCTCTCCAAAATTTTTTTTTTCTCTATAAAATGCTCTCATCTATGGACTGCAGTTCATGCAGAGAAAAATAGAAGTAATTTCTTAGTTTGAATATAATTTAATATAGCTGGTGATTTATGTTCATGCATTCATGCATTAACCAACTGATTTTCAAACCATTTCTTAGCTTGCGACTGTTTAATTAATTAAATGTTATCAACTTATACTAAATTATGGTAACTAATATAGTGATTAAAATTGATCAACCAACCAAACTAAACCAAACTAAACGACTAGGTAAAATTGAGATTAGTGATTTGTGCAAAAGAAGAGAAACTAAGAAGTTAGAGTTTAATTTTCAAAAATAATTTGTTTAAATTATTGTTATTTAATATTAGTATAAATTGCAATAATTAAAGTTAAAATTTAAGTATTTAAACTCATAATTAAAATGAGTAAATTTAACTATAACTAACAAGAAATATGACCAAGTATTGTGAGATAAATTTATTAAATGTAATATTTTATATATTAAAGTTGTTAACTTAAAGGGGTGTCAGAAAAAAAATAATCTATGATTGGGGTGAGTAATTATATTCATTAGTTTTCATTATTTCTAAATATATGATTGATTTTAGTTATGCTCTATTCCAGTGAGATTTAGATTATAACACATTCTTCATAGCGTTGGGAAAATATGCAAGTTAAAAAATTGCACAATGAATTTCCAATAAAATTATTAGATAATTGCAGGCTTTTAATTCTAATAGATATGCATGTAGTTTAATATTAAACAACCTTTAGAAATATATATGTTAACAGTCCTATATAAACGGTTGCATAACGAATTATCAATGAAATTATTAGACAAGGAAATGTCATGAGTAGATGAATGCAAAAGAAAACCATGTGTTATAAATAATGAAATGAAAATATTATACACATGAATACTTGTATGTGCATGTTAAGATAAGTTCACCTTTTGATACCATCAGGGGACACCACTGTACCCGCACGGGTAGATGCTTTTGTGCCACCTTTGACAATTATGATATTTATATTGCTAACAGTTGTGTTGTTGGGAGAATATCGGCCAAAAGAGAATATACACATTTCTAACTCATACAATCATGTAAGTTAGATCACAAACCGTTGTGTCAGCAACATAATATTGGTCAGGTGTTAGGTTATGTTTTCATGGTGTTGTTAAGATGATTGTGAAAGTTAAGAGAATAAAATAAAAGCAAAGTTAAAGACAAAATCTTGGAAGATAAAGTTAATGCATATAGAATTTTAGATTATTTTCATTGAGTAAATATCAGAAATACATACATCAGATTATAATATGATTTTTTTATAATGAGATATAAAAAAACAATGAATATTTTGTCCTCTTTTGCTTAGGTTATTATAGTTTAGAAATGTGATTTTTCAAAGTGAGTTAACTTTAGATAACTAATTATGTTATTTTAGTATTTTTCGAAGTTTTAAGCTTTTTGAATAAGATGAATAGAAGTGGAATCAATGTGTACAGAAGGTGAGTTCAACAATTGAAAAGGTAAATATTTAATTATTATTTAAATTGCATCTTTGAGTTACTTATTTCAATTAATATGTGGATATTAAAAAAAGAATAATAAAAAATTTAATTCCAACGCCCGACTGTTCGTTCCCGCCTTGATTAATTTGAAGTCTCAGGACGGGTCATAACACTGTTTGGTCACAAAATTCATCATCTACCTTGTAATTTGTTTAGTCATAAAGCATAAATAATTCTATCAAGATAAAAATTTTCGAATTATAGCTTTCTCTTTGACAAACCCTTAGTCAAACCAAAACACGAGCTAACTTCCTTATGGGAGTGTCCCTTCAAGTTGTCATCAAGTGTAATGAATTTTAGGGAAACGATTCTTTTTGAATAACAGACAAACACAAATCTATTTGTCATAATTTTAAATTTTAAATTGACAATATAAATTTTTAAGAGAAACTTATGAGTTGAGATAAGATTTGGTGGTCCTACCAAATTGGACCACTTTTCTCATTTTGCTTGTGGATCTCATAAATAAAAAAGCACCCTAACGCTATGCCTTTTATTTTTCAATACTATTCAGTAACTCACGGCGGTCAAAGGTCAACGAACAATGATGGTGTGTCCATTATTGGTGGAGGCAACAAATGGTAGTAGCAACAATAGTGGTTAGTGGATGGTGGTAGCAAAGACAACTAGCTAGATTGCTTTTTTATAGGAAAAAAAACACCTAGAAAAACCTAATAAGTTGTATTGAAAACTTTTTGAATGAACTTGATTTATTTAAGAAAAACATCAATAATTAAAAACAATGGAAACATAATATGCTTAAGAAAAACCAAAAAACAAAAATCCCACTTTAAACAGTCCCTTAGTGATCCAACAATTATTACGAGACATATTTCATTAGCAATAGTTGAATGCCCAACTAAGCCGGGAATCCATATGGCATTGATTAACTAATCTTAAAACTAATTATTGTGGCTTATTACTTTGTCATGTCCGTAGATTAACATAAGTTTTCTACACCTTTTGTGTAATGATAATATAATCATGCACGAACTAGTGTGACTTTATGTTTATGCATTTACAAGGTGGTGGATAATTCAATAAAGTGCATGAAACTTGTTTGGCATAATGTTGGTAAAAAATAATTGGATGGCTGAATGAGATCCATGCTTTTGTAATGGAGACAAACTAAAAAAAAGGGCATATTTATGAGCTTTGAGCATATCCTTAGCCTCTGTGATTTATGTGAATATAATTCCAACGTAGTTATGGATCAGCTATCTCTAATTAAAAATATTTCTTCGATAAACCCTCGGAGATTAATTGGGATAGGATGACTACCAAATAGAGCCGAGTGATAGAAGATGTTAAAACACTTGATGGTTTGAAAAATAAGTATGGTAACAAAGAAACATATAAAAGATAATAGCATTATGTACAAGATAATGTGATCAATTTAATAGGACTCAACATTCAAAATGTCCAAAAGAACAAAAATAAAAATTGATAAATTGCAAGGGTTTTGACAATTTTGGCTAAATCACACATGAAACACAAAAATAAAAATCAAAGATTTCCAAACTGATAAAACTACAAGCACACACATACCAGCCATTCCAATCCTCGGTCCAAACCATAGGCTTCTTATAAGCATTTGGCCTGAAGGCATCACAGTAGAATCCATTACAGGCATCAATCTGTCAAATAAAATAAACTATGACAGATTACAGGCGAGCAATTGAAATTGATTTTAGCATTAATTCAAAACATGAGAAATTTTTTACAGACATGATTATGGGCAAATAACATATTACAATGCTACAAAAATACGGCATGCAATTTAATATTTCGTGCATGGGAAAATATGTCTTAAAGAATGTTTTTAGCATGATTGTCTAAAACCGCAACAAGAAGAGATCTTCAAGCTCAAATAAAAAATCAAAAAATGAATTAAACTAACAGAGTAAACAGGCTGATATTGCTGGTAATTTTCAAAATTAATGCACTTTAAAAATCTGCTATGCTTAGTCAATGAATAAACTGAACAACTAAATATGAAACATTATAGGAGACAAAAGTTATGGCACTTACAACTGTCTCAGGAGCATCAGTTTGCTTGCACATAACCCATGGAACACCAGCCCCTAGGCTAAGTGCCATTTCTGCAGCCCATTTAACATACTGTTTACCTCCCTCACCATATGAGCCTTCAACATTACCATATTCATTCTCAATCTACAAAATTTGTGTGAAATAAGCAAATGTCTGGTAAAACAAAATTAAATTACTAGTAATATCAACCAACCTAAACTCAATGAAAATATAAATAATAGACGTACTCAGATTATCATCCATTTAAGAAGATAGAGGCATTCTCAAACACATTTTATCATCCATCATAAGTTTCAATGAATAAGACTTAAGAAAATTAAAAGACATTGGTAATGTTAAAAGATAAAAAATAACTAAAAGTTTTCTTAGAACATCATAGGGCCAAGAATTTCTAATACAATTTAATAAACAATGCAAACTATCATTACAAAAAACACACAAAAGTTCATAGGTCCAAAGCTATTAATCTAAGAAACTATCAACAGTTTGACTACTAATGAAGACACAATAGATATTGATTAAAATGAAAACTTATAACCAAAAATTTAGGGTTCAAATGAACAGACGACTAAGTGTGAGACAGAGGCAAGCAAACACGTGTAGGAGCACTGCAGAGTGAGCAAGCACAAAGTGCAGGGCAACAATAATGGTGCATGCAGGACAATGATAAATGGTCCATACATGACAATGATGAGTACAGGAGAGAAAACTCTCCAGCAAAGCCTACAAAACAAAACACGATTAGCATAAAATCATGTTTAAATTTGTCAATTTGGTTGGTTGAATAAGGCTTTGTTGTTGTTGTTGTTGTTGTTGGTTGGTTGAATAATTTTAAATGACTTGGACAAGATGTCCATGGCTCCGTCGTCCCGGGGCCTTAAAGTATTCAAATCTACTTAGTCCGAAAGGTGTTTAAACCAGAACCGGAAGATTCTTATCAACAACGATGAGTACAGGAGAGGAAACAATGAAATAGGTTGCATTTCCAGCAAATAATGACAAGCTGAGCCAATCATGCATGAGTTGTGTGCAAGAGCAATAGTGTCAATTTTCTTCCACATTGAGCATTACAGAAGGCTACAGTTTCTATTATTTCTTTTTGTTACAAATCAAAGGCATTCTTCCAAGTCAAAAGTAGAAGTTTTCAAAATTTTTAATTCAAAATTTGTAAAACCTAAGTTCAATTCACAACATGAAAGTACAATTTTGTTAGAACATACAAAAGTGTAAAAGAAGAATAAATTAAGTGAAAAAAAAATGTAATAATTGTTTGTACAAGGAAATAGAAAGCAATAAATAATTAGGGTGTGCTTAAATTAAGAATTTTATGATGTAAAGTGTGTTAATGAAATCTAAAGCTTTATGATAGGATTTGATAGTCTTTTACAGCGATAGAGACCTTAATTTCATTGAATAAGCAATAATTAAAGAATCATATTTCCATCCATCTTGAATTCTACTAATAATATCTCCATCTATATCACCTTCACTTTGAATAATAGACCTGAGCTATCTAAAAGGTTGACTCCTTTTAATGACTTGATCACACATTACTACAACCGTGCCACTAGATCATTGCTACTAATATTATATTCCATGTATTCAGCTTTAGATCTACCAAATGAAAGCCTTTAGACTCTAAAGTTGACCACCATATTTCAAATTTTTCTTGAACTCTTTTTCTAGTTTTATCGACAAGAAGGATATCATTAGCGAAAAGCATACACCAAGGTACATCCTCCTGTAAATGTCCAGTAGGAACATCCATAACTAAACCAAAAAGAAATGGGCTTAAAGTCAATCCCATATGTAATCCAACTAAAATAGGAGAATACTAGGTCAACCCTCCTCTTCAAACACAAGTAACACCTCTAGTATACGTATCTTTAATGACTTAAAAAAAAGTTGAATGAACACCATTATTTTCTAGAACACTCAAAAGAATTTTTCTTAGATCATTGTCATAAGCTCTTTTAAATCAATAAAAACCATATGTAGATCCTCCTTACTCTCTTTGTACTTCTCCATAAAATCTCTCAATAGATGTATAGTTTCTATACTAGACTTGCTTGGCATAAAGCCAAACTAATTTTGAGAAACTTTTGTATCACATCATATTATATGTTCAATTAGTTTCTCCCTTAATTTTAATGTATGACACATTAACTTAATTCATCTATAATTTGCATACTCTTGTGCATCCCTACTCTTGTGCTACTCTTGTGCATCCCCTTTACTCTTAAAACAAGGGACCAAAATATGATGCCTCCACTATTCAACATCTTTTTAGCTTTTAAAATTAATGTAAAAATGTTAAGTAAAAAAATTTCAAATATCCTAAACAATTCCACATTTTTATTGGGATATCATCAGTTTCTACTAATTTTTCACTCTTCATTTTCTTTAAAACCTTCTTAACTTCTATTTTACTAATACGACAAAATAAATAAAAAAATTTTTTATTATTAATGATATTAAAGTAAATGGCATTTTCAATTTTTTTATTGAAAAGTTTATCAAAATATCTCACCCATATATATTAAATATCATGATCTAAGAAAAATATTTTTTGATTTTCATCCTTAATATATTTTACTTGAACTAAATCTTTACATTTTTGTCTTTTTATCTGACTAATTTATACATATATCTTTCACTTTTTCTAGTATCTAATCCATTATAAAGATCACTAAAAGTAAAATTCTTAACATCACAAATTGTTCTTAGATTCTCTGTCAGCCACCTTATATTTTTCTCAATTCTCTAAGGTTTTGCATTTAAACCAATTTTTATAACAACTTATATTTTATCTTTTATTGCAAATTATTATTCCACCATTTAACTATATTTATTTATGAGTTTTTTTTTTTTATTCTTATTCTTCAAGTATATTTTTTTTGAGTTTTTTTTTTTTATTCTTCAAGTATATTTTTTTTGCAATTTGCTTAATATTGCTAGTAAAATTATCCCACATAACATTAGCTTTATTCATGAACATTTCAAATCTTAAGATCTTGAAATTTACTCATTAAAATAAATAAATTTGTCTTTTAAATGTCTCATCTAATTTTATAACAATATTTCAATATTTTTTTTTTAATCTTCAATCCATTCATCTTAAAATCCAAAACAAATAATTGATCTTGAGTATTTAATTTAATACTAAGCCTTCACAATTAGTGGACTTCTAAAATTAATTTATTTAATTATCTATTTATTATATTCATTAAGATAATAAAGAGAGATAAATAGATAAATAAATAAATAAATAAATTTTAGAAAGAGACTAATGTGAATGTTTATTATAAAACTATAGATTTTGTTATAGATATTAAAATAAAAGATGTGAAATCTAAGAATAAAGTGATAACATAAATCTTCCAAGGTTGAGGTGGGAAGTTATGTTTCTATATTATAGAAAACATTTATAATTCCTACTTGAAGTTTGGTGTAATAAGTGCCATGTTCTACTTTATGCAAGGTAGATAATAAACCAATGCTAACATTGTACAATAAAAAAAATGACTTATTCTTTTTAACGCGAGGCTGCTAAGGATTAGTCGGTCAAGGGTTCACCAAGGGAACTGTCGGTTCAATAAGGAGGCTAAATTGTCCGGCCCTAACTAGGGCTGGAGTGTTGTTGCCTCTTCCCCCCTCCCCTTCCTACTTATCTAACGTATATATGTGTTATTCTCTATTAGGCCTACTTTTTGCCGAGTTTCTATCCATGCTAGCCATTCACCCATCTAAGGTTGTCGATGGTGAGAAGAAGCTCCGGTTGAAACTCGTACGAGGTGGTGATTTTTTCCAAGGGTTTGATGGGTGCTCCCGCTATAACTTGAATGGCAGGGAAAGTTATTCTTCCATATCTTCCTTCCCTGCTAGCTACCCTCTCCCCTGCATCCACACCTTCTTGTTTCCCAGCCGCAAATCCCTAGTTCGACTCCTGTTGTCACAACCCATCCCAACATCCCTCCTGATGTTGCCATGGGTTCTCACATCTCCACCTGCAGCTGCTCTCATCATGCGAGCCCTCCAGCACTACCAGACGGCCTTCCTTCACTGTCTCAGCCCACTTCCCACAGCTTCTTCTTGTCGCACTCCACTCCAATCCCTCCCAAACTATATCATCAACTACTCCAACCTACCTAACAGCCACCGTAACTCATTTCCTCACATATTTGTTGTTGCCTCAGCCCCTCCCTATCTAACCTATTGTCGCACCACATCTATTCCCCCCATAGTATAACAAAACTCCCCATACCATAAATCCCCAATTTACCCTTCAGTCTGTTATCTTCCTACCATAATCACAGCCTCTCCTTAACCATTCCTACTACCATCATCCACCAACCAGCACCCAACAAACCTACCATCACCTATCCCAACCTTTCAAATCACTATTCACAGGTCCTCCTGCCACGCCCTGCGTGGAGATTCGTGTTGTGTTTGTTTGTAGTTTATTTCCTGCCTTGAAGAGTCTTCCTTATAACCTCTTGAATGTCAGCAATAAGATTTACATTTCTTTTATAGCTTGGGTTAACTCCAATATCATTTGATATCACAACTAGCCCAACCCTTTGTCCAATATCATTTGATTTCTTTTGTAGCTTGTTCCAAGCATCCGTCTTACCCCTCCACCACAAATTTTCTTTCATATTCCCAAATCATAGCCAAACCTTGACTTAACCCTAATTGCCTTTGTTGATTTTCAAAATCAATTTATAAACTCTAGCAATGCCACCAAGAAGATACATGTTCGAGCCTACCTGTGAAGAGATACAGCGAGGGATCCGTCGATTTCAGTGGAGGCTTGTGCAAATCGAGGATTTGAAGCCATAGGAGGAGTTCACGACACAGTTTAGTCTGTTACATATGAAGTGTGATTTGGTTGAGCTAGAGGAACAAACCATAGCCCATTATTTGGAGGGTTTGAAGCCAAATATTAGCAATGTGGTGCAGTTATAAGCTTATTAGTCACTTGGAGATATCTTGACTTTAGCATTGGTAATGGAAAAGAAGTAGAAACAGAGCAGACAACCACCACCAGTCACGCAGCCAGCTAAAATTGAAGACACCAGCACGCGCATGTTTTAGGGAGTTGAGAAAACTGGTTCCAATAA